TATATATATTATATATATATATATATATATATATATATATATATATATATATATATATATATATATATATATATATATATATATATATATATATATATATATATATATATATATATATTATGCATAAATATATAGATACACCTCTAGCGTAGTATCGACTTTTATCTCGGAGACACTTGCTTTTCATCAATGTACGTTTACATGTTTTCGCTACTGTTACCTGCAGTGCACAAATCGATCTTCTGAAAGAACTCGAGACACTTGTCCTCCATCAAAAGTATATAACGGAATGCGTAGGAATGGGACGGTTACTCTCAATTACCAAATATGCAGTTGATTTGGGTCCGGATGACGATGTGGAACTACAGATAAGTCCCGACGACGATCTGGATTCACAAGTCAGTGATGGCAGGGAAGGTATGTCTGTAAGGCTTAAGCCTTATATGGTTAATTGTAGCGTGCAGACCCACAGTATACCTCGCTTTAAATACAAACATAATGTAAGCGAGTCCAAATGTCCTCTGATAGGTAGTCCGGTATTCCGTTTGTTTATATGTCCACTGATGTGCACTCTGGTATTCCATTAGTTCATATGTCCACTGATGTGTACTCTAGTAATCCATTAGTTCTATTTTCGCTGATATTATTCCATCAATTTATATTTTCGCTGATATTATTCCATTAATTCATATGTGCACTGATATGCACTCTGGTATTCCATTAGTTCATATGCCAACTGATATGCACTCTAATATTCCATTAGTTCATATGTCCACTAATATGCACTCTGGTATTCCATTAGTTCACATGTCCACTGATAAGTACTCCGGTATTCCGTTAGTTCATATGTCTACTGATATTCACTCTGGTATTCCATTAGTTCATATGTCCACTGATGTGTACTCTGGTAATCCATTAGTTCATATTTTCGCTGATGTTATTCCATGAATTCATATTTCGCTAATATTATTACATGAATTCATATGTCCACTGATGTGTACTCTGGTATTCCATTAGTTTATATGTCCCCTGATGTGTACTCTGGTGATCCATTAGTTCATATTTTCGCTGATATTATTCCTTGAATTCATATTTTCGCTAATATTATTACATGAATTCATATGTCCACTGATGTGTACTCTGGTGATCCATTAGTTCATATTTTCGCTGATATTATTCCTTGAATTCATATTTTCGCTAATATTATTACATGAATTCATATGTCCACTGATATGTACTCTGATATTCCATTAGTTGATATGTCCACTGATATGCACTCTGGTATTCCATTAGTTCATATGTCCACTGATGTGTACTCTGGTGATCCATTAGTTCATATTTTCGCTGAAATTATTCCATGAATCCATATTTTCGCTAATATATTACATGAATTCATTTGTCCACTGATATGCACTCTGGTATTCCATTAGTTCATATGTTCGCTGATACTATTCCATTGGTTCATATGTCCACTTATGTGTACTCTGGTATTCCATTAGTTCATATGTCCACTGATGTGTACTCTGGTATTCCATTAGTTCATATGTTCGCTGATGTTATTCCATTAGTTCATGTTTTCGCTTATATTATTGCATTTGATCATATGTCCACTGATATGTACTCTGGTACTCCGTTTGTTCATATGTCCACTGATATGCACTCTTTTATTACATCTGTTCGTATGTCCACTGATTCATACTCTTGTATTCTATTAGTTCATATGTCCACAGATACATACTCCTGTATTCCACTACAGAATCGCGGCCGTTCTCCAGTTCTGGAAGCTCTTCAGCGTCTCCTTCAGTATCCCCATCTCCATCACCTGAAAGTCCTCGTAGAAGGAAACGGAGGGTGCCTATCAAACAACAGCAAAGAATAGGCATTCCAACACAAAGGCGTAAGAAAGGGAGAAAGATGCAACCCGACACATCGCAGAGTTCACCACCCCCAACGCAACAGAAAGGGGAAAGAGAACAGTTCGGCACCACGTCTGGGAGGAGAAAAGAAGTGCCAGTCAAATCACCGGCACTGTCAACGCGCAGTGCGACGGACTCCCAAGGTGTGTTTGCATTCGGACGAGTTTGGGTGGTAGTGCTACACATTCAGTTGATGCAGCTTAACCATTATTTGATATTAACCAGGGGTGTATTTGAGCAAACAGGCGCTTGTGATTGTGTGCGAAATATGGTTGGCTGTACGATGTCATTCCGAATACGGTTACCAGACATGTCTTCCGCTTTGATATAGCATCAGATAACTTATTGGATCGTTTTGTATGCAATTCACACTCGAGTGTATGCTACATTCCAGCTGTTCACATTATCAAGTTATATCCTAATTGGCGACGCACTCTTGTTTGTAAGGCATTTTTCTTCTTGTCTACAGATATTTTTGTTGTGATTAGTGGCATTTCTACGCGGGCTTCGTCGAGAAGGCATTTGTTGTTCAATATACAGTGTTTAAATACATGTGATTAAATTTTGTAGTTCTACGAATTCTTATAATACATGATATATTTGCTACAGAACCCCATTAGTGCTGCCTTTCGAAACATAGCATTCAATGTACTATGACCCTATAAATAAGATCAATTTTGTGGTAGCTGGCTACCAATTTTTGTGCCGGGCATGTGGCTCGAAATAGCAATATTATAGCTTATCTAGACAAAGTTTCAGCTGTGCTTTAATCATCTATAATAGAAGAAGATAAAATGTTGTTGCTTGCTATCAACTACTTTTTGAGTCAGTCATGCTTGTTTTAAAATGCCACTAGTGTTACTCATGAAGACATAGCATCGGTTCGTCACGTGTGATCAATGCGATTGCTACAATTTAAAGTGGCCCGTGTGATTGATTTAAAGCATGTGATAGCAATGATTTTGAGCACGAAAATTATACTTTGAACACCGATTTGGGGTTAGGGTTCTAGGCTAAACTGTAAACCCTGAATTCTATTTTGATTACAAGAGTATGTGCTAATTGAATGCGTTTTGATTGTTCTTCGTATACAAAAAAAATATATCGCGTAGGACAATCATTGTATAATTTTTAGATATCGAGACTCGATGTTTAGCTAAAATCAACCTCCTCTTTCTCAATTTGTGAACAGCCGATAATATAGTACCAACCGGTATTGTCTCATCTCCGGCGAGAAGCAGACAATCCTCTCCCCGCAAAGTACACGGACCCAACACAACACAGATATTAAGAGAGGAATCTCCGATACTCACGCACAACAGTGCACACTGGCACACACCAAATGAAAGTCGTGCTCATACGCGTACGCCTGACAAAAACGAGAAACACCCACACACAGAGGGCGAACCTCGTGGGCGTATACAAGATAAGGCACAAAAGTACACCCAGTCACAGAGGAGATTGCAGACATCCACACCAGACAACACACAGACACGTACGAGACACGATGTAATAGCATCGGACAATGCCGGTATAGGGGTACCGTTAACAGAGGTGGTGAGAACATCGGTGATAGCACCAACAAATGTTCGCCGGGCAGGTGATGGACTACAGGACAAGGTAGGGTCGGGCAGTCGTTCATCGCATACCAAAGACCATATGCGCATTCTAGAGCGAAATAGTGATCAGTTACGCAACTTGCTGCGGGGTAATGCACCACTGTTGAAGACGCTTGTAGATGGTAAACGCGAACAGCAAGCTGAGATCCTGACGAGCGAAGGTAAACGGAGACGAGTGGTTGCAGATACTGAAGGAATGGATAGTGCCAGCGACGAAGAAACAGAACAGCAAGAGAAGCGTATACAGGAAGTGACGCGCATATACTACTCAGAGCATACTCAGACACGCATACACATAGATGCACCCGCGCATAACCGTAGGGATGGTATCAACAGTACTACAACGCCCACGTCAACGTCGTCACCTACAGCAAAAACACTGGACAAATCGCCAAGGCCATCACATGGAGGTAGTAGTGAAGTACCGAACAGCGTGAGTAGCGAGAGCGACTCAGAGCTCGTGATAAACCCCAAAAAAGACGTGCATAATACAGCAAAGAACCCGCGTACGCAATCAGAACGTGCTCTTCTTTCCATGAAATATGAGACAGATGAAGAACTAGGTATGTGTATTCATTCGAATGTGAGATACGATTCGGGTGCATTAGATAATGGTGCGATTCTCGGACGATTTTTTGTTGCGTTCTATCTGTTGGATACGTCTCGAAGTCAGCGTGAATGCCGAAAGGTGTAGCATTTTTGCATTACCTATGTTTGTTATTACGTGTTGGATGCCGACAGAAAGTGCATCTCGTACTAACAATGGTTTTATGAACAACGCCCAAGGATGCACACTTGCGGTGTTGGTCATTGAACCTACCTCTATACTACCTACACAGTTGTCCCGGCCCTCCGTTGTATTACATCCCCACAAGGCTATTGCTCGACGAAGTTAGCAGGATTCGATTTCTTGATCTGCGTCCCTTTCTACCCTTCACTAGACTGTTAGTTTTTTATTTGCATTCTTCTGACATGACTCTCATACCACTTACAACGCGCAGAGACTCTCGGGAGGTACCTGGCATCTCTCAGGCCGATAGAACGTACGTATAGTCTTTACATGCTAAACGTGCCCCCGTATCGCATGGTGCGCCAAAGTGCGATGCATTTGTGAGTGATACTATTAGTTGTGCACTGGTACCACCCCCAAGTTGAATATTTGTGTGCGTTGTCATAACGTGTTACATGCAGCAAGTGTGAGTGCGAAACACGAATTAACTATTTATCTGCTAGGTTTTTGCGCTATATAAACGACAGACATTGTATTGTTTCTCGCATCCCTTGAAATGCAAGACAACCCCCTCCTTATATCACTTCCTTCGCCATTCTCATACAAATACCACCGTCTTGTGGGATTTTACTAATTGCAATCAGTGCGAGTCCCGGTGGGCGGGTTCGTATCGGACGAATCCTGGGACTAGGTATGCACCGGGATTTTCGACAGCCTTTGTGCTAGTTTTCAAGTGGGGATCGAACCTTTATTATTGAGATTAATGTGCTTTTTCCCAATTTCCCAACTGCACCGTGGGAACGCCCAAAGTAGCTAGACTTAAAATGAACTACCGAATAAATACCATCTGGCAACAGTTAATGCACTAGACTTAGGTTTATATACAGCGTATTATTATTGATTGATTTCTTTTCCCGTGTAGATGTGGTTGGAACATGGCTGTCCAGAGCATACAGCGAACGAAATAACCACCGAATAGAGTCTGGTTGTGCCGTGTGCCACCGTGCGAGTATTTTTGTCACGGCGGTGCTGCTAATATACGTAAAAGATGTGGATCCAGAATCAATACTGCATGAGAAGGCTAGAATTACATCGAAACCCAAGAAAACAGTTCATGGTCAACGGATGTGTATAATTAATAACACAATAAAGTACTCGCATATCTGTTACATTCATTCAATAGGATGCAAAATGCTTTATCGCACGATTCATGTCGGCCTATGTTTACAATTGGTTTTTAGCTGAAATCCCAAGAAATACCGACATGTGTGCTGCAGTCGCAGGGTCTGGCTTTGGCATTCACCACATCTCGCTTTGTATCAATGATTTAGCGCGTGGCCTCTAAATTCGAATTTCCGTGATGGACAACACGACGATATAGTAGCTTTGTGTATTTGAACATAATTATTTGGTCAATTAGATGATAAAACATCCTATAATCTTTTATTTGCGCGCTATGATGCGCAGCAAACGTATCTATAGTATGCGGCCTTAAGATCTTTTGAGCAAGCTCAAAACAACTTGTATTACACTTCCAATCGGTGGCTAAGAGCAATATTGTATCATGCCATCTACTCAGTAATTGAGAGTCTGTCTTCATGTCTTTCAACTATTGAAGAGATTTTAGATCAAAAATTAGCGTAAAGGCTGTTTCGTATAGGTAATATCTAAAGTATGTCAAAGCTTTTACTATAGCTAATAGTTCTTGCTTGACAGTTGAATGGTTCAGCTGATAATCATTCCTAGCTCTACTAAAGAACTGTATATATCTCGGTTTGGTATCGATAACCTGATATAGAACTCCTATTAGGGCTAAGTCTGATGCGTCTGTTGCTAATTCAACATATGGTACGCCATCTAATGTTCCTTGGACTACAGGAGCCTGTTGAACAGCCTGTCTGAATGTTTCAAATGCTTCTTCGCATTCCTTTGTCCATAGCTTCCCTAGATATCTTTTTGACATCTAAGTGTCCAAAAGGTTTTTTAAGTAATTTGCTAGGTGTGGAACTCCGTCTGAGAAAAGTTTACAAACTCACACATACTGCTTACATCTCTACCCGTGGTTGACGTTCGCTAATCTTATAAATGTTCGACTTTATCGGGGCCAATCTTAATACCTTCTCCAGATATACGATATCCTGTAAGGAATATCTTGTTTATGGCGAGGTGACGCTTCTTCTCGGTTTTGTACTGAAGGACTATTCGGATTGAAGCAGCATGTCGCCTACTGTTTTCGAGAAGATGACTATGTCATCTATATAGACTTGCACATTAGGTATGTCTGCAAACATCTCTTCCATTACTTGTTGGAAGAATGCTGATAGGAAGGTAATCCGAAACGAGCTCCCTTGAATCCCTACTGCTGCCTTTTCTACGTAAAGCTACAGTATTTACAATGGGGTTCGTTTGTCTTCATTTGATGGTGTCTTTGTGCCAGGTCTATAGTACTACTAAAGACTGTAGCACGCTTCATTCTACTTAACAACTCGATTATATGAGGTAGGTGAAAGCTATGGATCGGTACTGACTTATTTATTGGACTCGTATCAAAGCAAACTCTGACCTTCTTAAATGAACCATCCGAGCTATGTTAGTCTACTGCTAGCAGGGCTAGATTGACTTGCGTTTGCTGATAGTTTATCTATATCACACCGTCTACTACCCATTTCTCTACTTGTTCTATTTCTACTGCTTCGTTTCTCCAAGATACATAGTTTCTTAAAAACACTTTAGCTTTCTGAAGTCCACCTTAGTTAAATCAAGGTATACATATCCGTCGTTAAAGTGGAACTTGTCCAATCCGTAATCTAAGTTTTGTTATTCACTCGAATTAGATTTACAATGTTACTTGCAAAGTCAAATATTAATAACTTAACTGTACCGGACGGTGATAAATAAGGTTTTAGACAAGTATCGTCATATTGATCTTTCAATAGTCAACGCAGTTAGGTAGTCTAGTAATTGTAATACCGAGTGTAAGGCGATCACTCATTCTGA